TTTGCATAATACCCACTCTTTTAATTTTTTGTCTGTTGCTCACTTAACTGCTTAATACCATGTTTTTTTCTGATCAGTCATGACATTGCAATGAAAACCATTAACATCAGAATCAGAAAACGATTTATTGACCAAGAATACAAGGAATTTGACGTTGAGGTCCAGAACATACAACATGAATGAGGAATAAAAATCAAAAGTACGAAAGGTTTTTTTTAATAAGAGAAAAGATAAGATATGTACGAAAGAGGATTAGAGCCACTGAAAAAACCCGAATAATTCTGACTTTTTCTCAGAATTAGGAAAAAGTCAGAATTCTGACTTTAATCTCAGAAATTTGAGAAAAAACTCAGGATTCTGAGATTAAAGACAAAATTCTGAGAAAAAAGCCAGATTTATTTTATTTGTTTCAGTGGCTGTAATCCTCTTTCGTAGATATAACTTATATAGAAATAGAAAATGAATTAAGCATGATACAATTAAAAAAGCTTAACAGAAACTAAAGAGTTGGAGCTACGGTCTAGCTGTTAAAAACATCAAATTCTTGCAGATTGAGAACAATCTGTGCAAATAAACATAATTACAGTGCACACTTGAAATCAGTCCAAAATTGCGTCAGTGTAACATTTAATGTTCTTACATTAATGCAAAGTATAATGGAGGACAATGGACTTGTTTTTAAGTCTATAGGGAAAGGAAACAGTTCATGTGGTGGGAGGTTTTGGTCTTGATGGACCGCAGTCAGATCTGTGTCCAGGGTGGTAGGGGTCTGAATCGTCCACTGGTCAGTGAAGTTTTGCTAAATTACATTTACTATATTTAACTGCCCATAAAACTCACTGCATCGCTCTTAAGGAGAGATGTGAAATGCACCGGGAAATTATTTCCACTGTGTCTAAACCCAAGGAGATAATAATCACACCGCGTTAATCATCTTCACAATCACTTGAGCTCCTACTTCATGTTTAATCCCCCCGAATTAGGCTCCATTAGCTTCATTCACGGCATCGCGTACACTGACCCAGAATCCTGGCTCACGCAGCGTCAGTTGGCAAATCAGTGCAGATGCACTGCTTACCTGTWTTTTCCAGTTATGTAAACAAGGCTCTGGACTTAAGCGCGAGTGGCAGATGTAATCGCTTCCGCGCCACTTCCCTAGCCTGCTTTCATTACAGCCACTCCTCCGGCACGAGAAAACGAGGTGCTAGACAGACATTAGGTTGGCTGATTGCCGTGTTAGGTCACAATCAAGTAG